CCGATAAGCGATAACGGAAATCACTTCATAAATATTTGAGATCTATTGATCTCAGCGTTGTTTCAATTCTCAGCCAAATACTCATCATTCGCCTTAGATTCACTAATATTATTATTTCCGTCACCTAAAAATGCTATGATTCAGTGAATAAGATTAAAAAAGAAACAGATGAGAAACAACCACGTAACGAAATCATTACCTTGAGTTGTATAACTTTGAGATACATTATGAGGGATGGCAACTTTAAGAGCCACAGAGTAGAGAAGAGCGTTTAGTGCAGCATCAACGATGAGATACCACGCACTGCGCAAGCAACGGCTTTAACCGTCAATATATGGTCAACAGCGTTAGACGCATATATCAGTTCTAATATGTCTCGCAAACCTGAACTTGCCATAAGATACCCAATTGAATCTAAGAAGCTCATCTCTGTGTGGAAGGCACCTAAACGAAGTATGACGTTGCGCAGTGCACTATTATCAGGCTCTGTCTTGATCATGTCAAATGCCTTTAACCAAAGGGGCTGATCAAAGGTTATAATGGGTGTCGATATATTGTGACGCTTTGCGTGATCTGATGCAAAGTTGAGGGTGGAGGATATGCATGTCTTATCACCTGGATTCATATCAATCATAGGAAGAAAGTTGATTGAAAACTGACCGCTGTGAGTGCCTTTGTGTACAGATTGCATCATACTAGACCAAGATGGTCTGCTAATTCCRAACAGTAGGGAGCACTTCCAAAGAACATCCATATTCGCTGTTGGATCATCTACTTCTTTCMGAGATATTTCTTTATATTTGATTACTAGGCGTCCGATTCTAGGCTGGGATGTAATGATGAAATCCTGTCCAGTCCGAATTGGAGGACTTGGAACGACTTCAAATCCTCATTAATTAYTCGGGAGGAGAAAAGGGCCGAAAAATATTAAAAGTCTATAGGAATATATTGGTTATATTTGCTCCTTCATGCAGGATTTCATATTTACATCATTGAGCACTATTTATTGTTCTTCAATCCCCATTTGGGCATTTGAAACAAAAGCTATTCAAATTCCCTGTCTGCTATTCATTTTAATCCTAATGAACTTATTCATAACATTTAAAATCATTTTATCTTCCGAGATTTTTCATCGGATAGTGAGTGATGTAATGGTTTAAGGCGGAGGGCATAGATCAGAAGGTTGGGAGTTCGAATCTCAAGATGAAATTTATCATAGATTTTTTTCACTAAATTGTAAACTTAGTTTACTATTTCTACTTGTTTAAAAGAACTTCAATAACTTGGACTTTGACATTATCTGAGAAATTAAATCAGCTTGGAGTAACTGGAACAAAATTAATTCAGTACGGAGTAACTGGAACAAAATTAATTCAGTACGCCTAGTAACTTCCTCCGRTTTCCAGTTACTGCACGTGGTATGAATTACGAACAAGGATTGGCTAGATACCTCGTGAATAATTAATGAGTATTTGAAGGTGGTTTAATAAGGATTTCTCCAGATGACAAGATCTCTGATGCTTTTACTTTGAGTCTAAAACACTTCTAACGTGTTTTGTTCCAGATGCAACTGTAGTAATCATACCGATACTATGAAAGGTATTGTTCCCGTCGAGTGTGCGAATATTATGGTCAACATTGTCTGCCACATATTGTACTAATTGGTTGTTATATTCGGATATATCTGTACTTTGGTCTACAGCAGCATTCTGGCGAAAAMGAAGGACTTCATTCATTCTACGAGGAGCAAAATCCATGACGATGAAGAGTATCTATCAGAAGGCGTGTCTATGGTGAAGTTGAAYACCTAAACCTATTTGTAAAGGTGCGATAATCACTCGCGGACGAGCTGCTTGGATTATTGATTGACCTAATGAAGCTGTCGTTAGTTCATCGTTTCCATACAGGATACCTTTTAGTAGMATAAGTAAAGAATCTGKGAGAAAGTCCAATGACGCTTGAATATCGTCATCAAAAKTTGGGTAATACTCCTTAGATGTTTTCATCGCTTTGATATCACTCTTAATCAATCTAGCAGCTGCTTGGATTATGTTACTCTTTTCAGATTGATTGTTGRAATTCTTTTGATTTTCATGAAATTCTTGGACTATAGATTCCACAGTGCTTCTAAATGCAAAAACGTTTTGTTTTCCATTTATTTCAGTGATAATGATTTGATCTCCAAAATGTTCTTTCACTTTGGTTTTCATATGGGTGTGTCCATATGCGTCAATCTCATCAACTCCGATATAGCCTTGCATCTTGTGTGTAAGATCTTGAAGAGTTATCTGTTCGTCATCGTTTTCTTTTAAGTAGTCCATATCTTTCAAGAATGCCATAGGCCTTTTATCATCTTGTGGTTGTCCAAGTCTACTATTTTTGTGTTTTGTCATATCGCCAAAGTGGATTCTAGGCACCTACCTGCTTCCCTGTTCTAAAATTCACGCTGCATGCCTGATGGTATATGGCATCAGCGGCAGGTAAGTCGTGTACGTTCATGAGCCTTGCC